TGGCTGTAACTGTTGGGTCAGAGGCTGGCAGAGGCACCTACAGGTCTGAGGAGCAGAGCTTCTCAGGCTGAGGGTCCTTCTGCAGCCAACCCATCAATCCATTACAGCAGGGCCCAGCAGGAAGAGAGGTGTGGACAGGAAAGGGGTCTTGTTCCTACCCCTCTCTTTTACCAGGGAGGAAGAGAAGGCCTGTCTGGACTGGATCTTGTACCCACCTTTAATCAGACATTTCAGGAAGGGCTGTCTGTATGCGTGCCCAGGAGACAGTCAGTAAGGCAGTGACGGGAGTATATGCCACAAGGATCTGCTTTGTAGTGCTGGGGAGAGGTGACAGGAGGGGAGGGCATGGAATACAGCCCTGTGTCTCTGTGGGAAGCCAAGCATCAGGGCACAATGGTGCCTGCCGCCCAGCTGAGGTGAGCTGCAGCCTTGGTTGATATATGGGGCAGATGATGGGTTCTATGGCACTCAGGAAAGGGCATCATTATGAACTAATAGGGCATGATGCCAGAGGTCCCCTAAGACTGTCCCTCAGCTTTTGGAAGGACAAACCTCTGAAGGAGTGCTGCAGTTGCCTTTAAGCAACAAGACAGACATTTAGAATGTTCATCCTTCACCATACTACTTGGAGGATGTCCAGCAGCAGCTCTGAGGGTGGACATCTGTGACGTCCACCAGATGCTGGAGTCAGGAGTGCAAGGGCCAAGATGGTGAGACCCAGTGCAAGGGCCAGGAACACAGTAAGGAACAGACCCACCCTGCTTTTGGACAGCAGGGCAGTCACAGAATTGTAAGAAACTCGGTTTGGCCATATGGGAAGTTATGTGGCAGTAACTAGATACAGGGAGAAGAGGCCAGGGGCAGAGTGGATGACTTCCTGTAGCCTCTGTCCTCATCCCTCTTGATGGTTCTCTGGTTGAACTGCACATTGAGGCCAAGAAGGGAATCCCGGGGGGCTCCAGGGTATGCAGGGAACCTATCCAGGTTTCTTTAGTGTCAGGTCTAGTACCTGATCACCACTTTCCTCTCAGCTCTCAGGGACATCTGGCAGCAGACAAGGCAGCCTGATTACCTACAGCCTGTTTCTGAAGACACCACTACAAGGAAATGGGCACTACATCACCATTCCACAAAAAAAGATCTTTACTCCACGCAACCTAAAAATGGCATTCTTTAATAATGATGTTTGCTAAAAGCAGGAGTACTTTGTACCTTTATGAGATATTTTACATTCTTATTGGTTTTAGTACTGAGAACTATTCTATGGCATTGTTTCCCCGATCCATGTTTGTTTCCTAGGACCTCTGACAACCTACTGTATACCTAATGTGCTCAGATCTGATGGGGTGCACAGAGGTAATGTCCTAGGGCAGAGTCAGTCTCCATAGAGTTTCTGGGGACACTCTAGGCTGGCACCAGGTGCCTGATGAGCCCTGCCTGGCTCACAGTTGGATCCATGAGTTCAGAAATTGGGAGACAGCTACTGATCACTTGCAGGAACCCACCCTGGCCCTGGCTTCCCTCGTGCTGTTTCCTAAGATGTTAATGCACACCCCTGTGCTGGATCCTTCCCTCACCCAGCAGCTTTGAGACAAGCTTTTCTCGAGTAGAAGGGTGGGTGGGAGACCACACTGGGTGTCCCAGGGGAACAGCTAGATGAGCATCTGCTGAGAGAACTTTTTTCTTCTAGGGGCATACACAAGCAGGCAGCACTGAATTTTGTAAACTTTTATTAAAAAGAAAAGACTGTATAAGCCTGTGTTCTTATTGACTCATTAGCTCTTGGAGATGCTACTGTGGGGCTGACTTGCTCAGGAGACACTAGCGTCACTATTGACTGAACTGACCAAGTTGTCTGGAACCAGACAACAGTCTAGACAGGACATACAGAGTGTTGGAACTGCTCCTATCAGTGGAGGAGAAGAAAGGTGCTGTTGATACATCTGATCCTTGTACTCAGCCACTACTAGGTGACATATAGTTTGAGGCTTATAACGAAAGGATAACCCATTATTTTTCTTTTATGTGGGGAGGGGGTGTTTGTTTTGGTTTGTTTGGGGGGGGTGCCAGATGTTTAGGAAAGCTGCCTTAACTTTGCATTTTCAGAAAGCAGCATTAACCAGCACATGGCAAGAGGAAGCTACAACTTCTCTGTGGCTGTAGATGCAGAGCTACTGCTGTCTGGAAAGGAAGCAGTGTGTAAGTTACTCAGACTACCCAGTAGAAAAGATAACTGGAGTAAAAAATGCTTCTCAGAAAATGTAAATGAAAAAAAAAAACATGTAAATGGCCAGTAGGCATATGAAAAACATGCTTACCATCATCAACCATAGAGAAGTGCGGAGAAGTGCAGTCAGGCTCAGTGAGGCACCACACTCCTGTTAGGATAAAGATGAGCTGGCAAGAACATGAAGAAATGTAGATGAGAACAACTATTATGGGAAACAGTATAGAGTCTTTTTAAAACAACTACCATGTGATCCAGCAATCCTGCTGCTTGGGGGCATATCCAAAGGAAGGAACTGTCTGGAAGAGCTGTTTGTACCCTCTCCAGTGCAGCCTGGTCCAGTGTCCAGGATGGCGTCATCTGGGTTGTTCTGCAATGGATGAGTGGATAAAGAAAGAGTACTGTCTATCCAGGAAAAGATGAAACCCTGATACTGCAGCAACATGGACGAGCCCAGGGACATTAGGATGATAGGATAACAGGTGCAGAGACAAGCAGATGACTCTTTCAGGGTGGTCTTAAAATGTGAAATTCCTAGAGTCTGAGTGGCAGTTAGCAGGGCCTGGTGGAGATGGTGTCCGCCTCAGGCAGTCTCAGGTCAGCATTCAAGAAGTCCATTCAAGACTCCTACAGTGGAAACACTGGGAGTGTTTAACAGTTACGAAGCTGGAAGTGGTGGTGCATGCCTTTATCCAGGCACCAGCCCGGTCTACAGAGTGAGTTCCAGAACAGTCAGGGCTATGCAGAGAAACCCTATCTTGGGAAAAGTGAATGTTCTCAGAAATCACTGAAAAGATTTAGTATTCTCATTACTCAACTAACTGCTGAGGTAATGCCTTCGGTCACCAGCTCCATTTAGCCATCCTAGACATCTGAAAACATCATATGCCTAAATGTATGCAATTCCTGTCCACTGAAGCAGGAATGAACAATGTAAGGCAGAGCATGCTGCAAGTACTCTGAAATGCACTCTGCCCTTGGGCTCCTGGCAGCTGCAGTGAGGTGAAGCTGCCAGGCACTTCTCAGAACACATGAATGCTGAGAGCCAGGGGTCCAGCTGCCTGGGACAGCCAAGCTTGAACTGAAGACAGCACCTGAACAGCACAGCACAGGAGAGCAGCAAGTCCTCCGCAAGGCCCTTGCCCTTCCCACTCTCTTCCTCACCAAGAAGTGGGCTTTGAGACATACAGGCAGGAGCCCAATCCCCAGCCTCACTCAGGCTCTGGCCAAACAGGAGGTAAGAGGCTTAGGTTTGAGGCTTACTTGCCTGTTAGCTTTGCTTTGGGTGTCACTGTGCCTGGTTCCTATTCCTCACCCTTCTGCCCTCCTCAGCATGGTGACTTGTCCTGTTTCATGTCCTGTACTGAGCTGAAAGGGCAGGGTGGGGCCTTGGCAGAGCCTGAGCCTCCTGGGGGCTGGCTTCTATCTGGCCTGCTTCAGCTTAGGGGCAGCAAGGGCCCTCACTGGGTTTGTGTCCTGCACTCAGCTCTGCTGTCACACTGGTGGGGTCAGCAGTGAGGCAACATACATGGAGCATGTAGGAGGGCAGGGGTCAGCACAACACTGCTGTCAGTCAAGTGTTCTCAATCAGCTGGGCAGTGTTCCACTCACCTCACCGCAGCTGCCTAGAAGCTCTAAAGCAACACATCAAAATTAACTAATTGTCTGGAGGGATGCAGTGGGAACTGAAGGACAGGTAGAGGATGTGGTTCATATATTTGGGACTTAAAAAAATATATCCATTTTATACATGTAGTCATTTCATCCCTTCTTCCTCTGAACCCTTCTTACCTCCACGTCTTTTTTTTAATGTGACTTAACTAAGTTGCACAACTGTAGGAACATTATTTATTGGAGAATGGGGACCACCATATCAATGGCCACACCACTTAAGAAAATGATATTCCCTCCCCCAACCTTTAACTGAATAGATCATCAGATGGGTAGGGCCTCATGGACCCCACCCTATCCCTTATGAAATGTTGGGTCCACTCTGGTACACATTTGGGGTACTTTACAAAAAAAGATGAGGTACATGCAGTCCTAAGCATGAAAAACTTGGGACAGCTCTGACCTGAGTACCTTTGAGCCCAGTCTGCACAGAAAGCAGCTGTGGGGACAGGCTGCCAGGAGCACCTACATTCCTGGCCTGCCACTGACCAAATGGTTACTCAAGAGGCATACTGGCCAATGATCCGTACCACAGGCCTGCCTGGATACTACCTAGATTAGCTTTGAATTTTTGGCAATCCTGCTTCTCAAGTGCTGAGATTTTAACGCTGCATTCCTAGTTAAGTATTTGTAAACAAAATTAGTGAACACATGGGAAATTTGCTTCTAAGCAGTGGTCAAATTTATATCTAATCTAAAAATGTCATCCAAAGGTGCTTGGGAAATTCAGCAACTATACTCTGGGGCTCACTGCCTTCTGAGGTCATTCTAAGGTTCAGGCAGAAATGTAGGATGCGGCAGGGTGAAAGGTCACTCAGTCTCAGGTCTCCCAGCAACTTTCTAAAAACAAAGCATCTTAAAGCTGACACACCTCATTCTCCGAAGATCTTACTTTTTAAGGCTGCCAAGCACACTGTAGCTACCAGAAAGAGCAGAAATGTTTTAAACAAGCAAACCCTGTTTTAGGGACTAGACAGACTGCTCAGCTGTCTGTGGACCCGAGTTCCATCCCTGGGCCCATAGGGAAAGCTGACTCTGAGAAAGATGTCCTCTGACCTCCACACGGGCACTATGACAAATACATTCCACCATAAATAAAATGTAAAAGAAAAAGCCTGCTTCAGGTTTATTTAGTAAAACACACCCTTTCAACTAGCTTTTGTAAGGACACAATATCATTGTCATAGACCGGGGCTCAGCCAGTCTGTTCCTACAGCTTACTTAGAGTCCTTAGGCCCAGGAAGGCAGGAGGGGCTGAAAGGTAAGGGAGAATTTTGCCTTGGGAGCCATGAGGTCAGGAAAATTAAACCCATTGCCTATTGAGCACAAAAAAGTTCTTTGCCGACATTACAAAGCATATAAGATGCTGAAACCACTGAAAGCAAACTCAGTAGAAGGGCTAGGAGGGAAGAAAGTTCGTAACACATTCCATTTGCTGGATACTTTTAATAGGTTTACATTGTTGACATTAAAGTATAGTTAATACAAACAGAAAAAAAAAAAAAAACAGCAACAAAAAAAACCTCTTAGGCTCAGGTGGGGAAATCCAAAAAAGCACATGAGAAACAGAAAAACATGCAGGGGAGAGGAGTCTGACACATGATCAAGTAGCAGACCCTTGAGATCCAAGCAGACAGCATAGGGGCCACCCCAGGAGGAAGGGGCCCTAAAATTATATGAACTCAGGTTGTTTTTAACCTTAAGATGTTCGAGCACCATTCAGAAGCAAGCAAGCACGGGTGTTCCCTACTGAGGACATGGGTGAGGGTACACACCCTTTCCAAGTGTACACACAACCATGCCTGGTACCCAGCAGCCTCCATGTACACACTTGACATGGAACGGGAGGCGGTGAGTGTGTTAGGATGTCATGTCTTCCTGTCACACACAGTGCTGTGCTGGGAACCAGAAAATGGCCAGGGACAAGACCTACATAAGGCACTGCCTGAGACAGAACTGGTGGTGTACTTTCCAGACATCTGATCTTAGCCTTCAGTGGCATTTACATATAAATAGGCATAAATAAAACTCTCCTGCATGAAGCCCAGGAAGACAGCACTTGCAGAACAGACCCAGTGAGGGGGCAATGGAGCTGTGCATGGTTCTCATTTCAGGCACACTACTGGAATGCAGACCACGATGGAGCCTCTCATGTAAACACCTGACCAGCTACATTTACACTGTTGCCTTGGGATTGTAGAGACTCATCACCAAAAAAATACTTTCTATTTAAACCTTAAAAATGACACACACCAATTGTAATTATTTAGGTTATAAATGTTTCTAATGTAGCAGCAAAGGATGTTTGTAGAAAAAATATACTTTTAAGAAAATAGCTGAAAAAAATCTAAAGTATAAAAAGTTTAAAAAATATATCTTAAGACAAAATATTGCCCAAAACATATAAAACTTAATTTTAGAAAGTTCGCCTACCTAATTTAAAATGGACTAGACACAACTGTGGCACACCATCCTCCACAGTGATTCCCACAAACAGGAAAATGAACCCAGGGCCCAAAAGCCTTCAGAGAGCTCAGCTCCTGGCAATGGCTTGCTCTGTCCTCAGGGTATATATAGCCCTGAGGCAGCTCCAGGGCTGCAGCCTTGCAGAGGAAAACCTGTCCCAGGATATTTTCAGAGTCAGAGAGTCAGAGCCCACTTCGGGTCAAGTGCTTGTCTGTCTCTGGATCATAGTACGTGTGAGCTCCGTGAGGTGTGTGGCCTTGTCCTTGGCCCACTAGGGGCCTCTTCTCAAGTCTCCACCAGAATCTCTACTACATGGTCCAGCTCAGCCAGGTCAGACTTGCAAGTAGAGCTGGGAGGTGGGGCAGCTGCAGCAAAGCCCTCAAGGCCATTGCAGAGACTGGGCTTGGTACCACTCATCATTCCTGTTAGCACCGTGTCCAGGTCATAGTAGGAACTGTCCACATCTGAGAAGAGTTCCTCCACTGAACTGGGGTTTTTGTTCTCCAGGGTCTCAAATATCTGGTCCAGTGACTTCTGAAAGCTTCCCCGGTTTTCTTGGGGGTTGTCCATCTCCCAGAGGCTGCTCTGAGGGTTCCTTTGCCCCTGTGCTGAGCTGACTATGGGAAGCTCGGAAGCTGAGCTTTGCAGGGGACCATCTTCCAGTTCAGGAGTGGGGTGCTCCTCGTCAGCTCCCCTGGCTGTACGACACAGGATCTCTGTGGAGACTAGGCGGTCAATTGGTGCCCGTTCTACATTCTGGGGTGCCATCCCATGCCACACACCATCCCGACTCATTTCCTCCTGGATCTGACGGACTGTGTTGGCAATGAGGACTGAGCGGCAGAGGTTGGGCTCCACTAGCATGTGGCAGAGCTGGAGCTTGACCAGGGACATGTCCAGGAGTGACTGCCGCTGCAGGCTATAGGAGGGGACAGTGCCAAAACCCTCTACTACCTCCTCCTGGTCACCGTATTTCCTCTTCAGCCCTCTAGCAAACATCGTGTCCTGTGGGAACCAAGGAAAACACCATTTAGCAGTCTTCAGCCTCCTGGATTACAGTACTCAGGGCAGTTTCTAACAGCTAGAGAAGTGACAACACACAAGTGCCAGAGACACCATCTGGGAGGCTGCCTCAGACACAGCCACTGTCAGACAACAGAGCTCTAAGTTGCAGCATAATTGTCATCAACAGATAAATGAACACAAACAAGTGAAATATGTTATTTGTATAAAGAGGTGTTGTTGCTTTGAGATAAGTATCTTGCTATGTAGCCCAGGCTGGCCTTGAACGTGTGACCCTCCTGCCTCAGCTTCCCAGAGCTGAGATTAAAACAGTACACCACTACACCCATCTACAGAAATGCATTTTAAAGAGAATAAAAATCTGGATACTGGGATAGGAACTTTGGTCCTTATGTTTGTGGGACAAGATCTTTTAGCTGCTGAGCCATCTCTCCAGTTTTTAAATTTTTTTGGTTTTTTTGTTTGTTTGTTTTTGTTTTGTTTTTTTTTTTGAGACAGGGTTTCTCTGTGTAGCTTTGCTCCTTTCCGGAACTCGCTTTGGAGACCAGGCTGGCCTCGAACTCACAAAGATCCGCCTGCCTCTGCTTCCCAAGTGCTGGGATTAAAGGCGTATGCCACCACCGCCCGGCTAGTTTTTAAATTTTTATTTTAAAATAAAAATATTATTTTAAACAATAAATTTGAAATTAAATGCCAAGTTGTTCTCAACAGAATCTCCAAAATATGTAAACTTTAGGATTTCTTTACAGACACAAAAAGGCTATACCTTTTCTTCCTCCTTTCAAAGTCACAGACCTTTACATAATTTATGTGACCTCTTGAATATTTATTCCAATGAAATGAAAGCTAAGGTTCATGTAAAAACTTGTATAAGAATGGTCGTAGTACTCTACTCACAGTTGTCCCAAACTGGAAATAATCAAGCTGAAATGACCGGAGCTCCCATTAGAACTACAGACCAGAGAAAAGCCATTCGCCAGTCTCCAGAGGCCACACCCATCAACTCCATCCTCCTTATACTCATGCAGGAGATCTCAGGGGAGAGAACATGCCTGGACAAGTGAGCTGGCCACAGCGTGCCCAGCTCCCAACACATCCCACGCAAACCTAAGTGAAAGAGAAGTGACGAGAGGAATGCAGAGTCTCAAGTTCTTTTGCAACTTCATATAAAAAAATTAGACCTAATGCCAATAGCTTCTTTTTTTCCTATAAGACCATGCCCAGGAAAGTAAGCAGCTGTTCCTGCCCATGCCACCCCTCAAGTTTTATCATCTATCTCATAGTGAAGGAAAGGAGCTTACCACCAAAGTACAAATAATATCAAGAGAGGCCAGAGAAATGGCTCAGTGGTTAAGAACACTGGCTGCTTTCAGATGATCCAGGCTCAATTCCCAGTACTTACATGGTGGATCAAAACCATCTATAACTTAAGTTCCAGGAAATCCAATGCCCTAGTCTGACCCCCAAGAGCACCAGGCATGAACATACATAAATGCAGGTAATACACAGAGAACATAAGTCTAAAAAATAAAAGAATATTTCATGAGGCCAGGGCAATAATGGTTCAGCAGGTTAAATCTTTGCAGTTAAATCCTTACTACCCATATAAACGCTAGAGCTTGGGAGGTAAAGATAGGGGATCCCTGGATCAGGCTAGCTCTGGACTCAACTGAGATCCTGCCTCAATAATTAAAGTGGAAAGCAAATGAGCAAGTACCAGACATCAGCCTCTGACCTCCATACATATACACACACACATGCACATAACACACAAACATAAAACAATTATTTTGCTTCTGGTAAGAATATTCAGGGTTATGTTGTTTTTGAACCAGGGTCTCACTAAGTAGTCCTGGCTAGCCTGGAATTCACTGGGTAAACCAGGCCAGCCTCTGCTTTCCAGGTGCTGGGATTGTAAGGTATGTGACACCATGCCAGGCAAATGCTTTTTAAACTTCTGTTCGACTTGGAGCTAGAGATGGGGACTCTGATTCTACTCCCAGCACCTATATGATGGCTCATGACCATCTATAACTTAGTTTCCACGTTATCCAACAGACACCCTCTTCTGGCCTCTGGAGGCACTGTATGCATATAGTGCAGACATAAATGCAGACAATATACCTACACACATAAAATAAAATCTTATAAAAACAAATAGCTGGGCTCATGACCATCTATAACTTAGTTTCTACGTTATCCAACAGACACCCTCTTCTGGCCTCTGGAGGCACTGTATGCATATAGTGCAGACATAAATGCAGACAAAATACCTATACACATAAAATAAAATATTATAAAAACAAATAGCTGGGTGGTGGTGGCGCACCTTTAATCTCAGCACTAGGGAGGCAGAGCCAGGTGGATCTGTGTGAGTTCAAGGCCAGCCTGGTCTACAGAGCGAGTTCCAGGAGGCACCAAAAACTACACAGAGAAACCCTGTCTCGTAAAAAAATAAATAAATAAACGTACGTTGTGTTTGAGCACTTGGTCCTTAGTTGATGGTACTGTCTGGGAAGTTACAGAACCTTGAAGAGGTGAGGCCTTGCTGAAAGAACTGCAAACCCAGGACCGGTTTCAAGGTGGATAGCTTAGCTCTACTTTCCATTCTCTGCTTCTGTGTGCGGATGACGTGTGATCGATCACTCAGCTCCCTGACTAACAGATTGGCCTCAGCCTTCCACTGCTGTGCCTTCCCTGCCACGATGGACTAAAGCATCCCTGCTATAACTGCAAGTCCAGACAAACCCTTTCTTCCCCAAGTTGTTCTTTGTCAGAGTATTCTATCACAGCAACAGAAGAGCAACTAATACAACTTTGCACTACAGAAATTTCTTTTTTGGTGGCGGTAGTATGTGTATTTTTAACAGGCTGTTCTCTTAACTTGAGATCCTTCTGCCTCAGCCTCCAGAGTGGAGGGATTATAAATGTGGGTCCCTAAGTCTAAATTAGATTTTTTTCCATTTTTTAAAAAACAATTACACGTTTAAAGCCACGGGGGGGGGGGGGGGGGGGGGGGGGGGGGGGGGGGGGGGGGGGGCCTAAAACTAAGTTTATTGAGAATTAATATACTATGTCAAAGGCTGGGTGGTGGCGGCACATGCCTTTAATCCCAGCACTTGGGAGACAGATGCAGGCGGATTTCAGTGAGTTCGAGGCCAGCCTGGTCTAAAAAGTGAGATCCAGGACAGCCAGGACTGTTACACAGAGAAATCCTGTCTTGAAAAAAATATATATCTAGGCCAACTATATCAAGAAACCTTGGATTAGGGGTGGGAAGTCCCAAAAGTTCCTTTTTGTTTCAGAGTTATCTCTAAAATTTCAGCTCTTCGTGATTTAACACAGATCTCAAACCAAACTTGCTCATATGTCATGAATTAAACCCTGTTTTGCAGACAGAATACCTAGCTGCCCACTCTGACCCTGAGAATCTGAAAGATAACCCAACTGGAAGGCAGAATGGTCGAGGGAGGGCAGTGTGGCCAACCAGAGGCTTCATGCAGTGGGGCAAACTCAGAAAAGGACAGAGAAGAAGGAAAAATGGGCTCCTGAACTGGAAGTTTCCAGAAAGTGGAGTACAGGCTGAAGAGAGACGTCATCAGTGGTGTAAACTAAAATACCAATCTCTAAGATAAAAGATGCTCACTGGAGAGACAGTGACATGACTATTACGAGATAACCAACTGCTTTCTGTTTGGATCTGAAGTCTGCTCCACAGGACAGAATTCATACCTGGTATTGTAAACCTGGTCAAAAGCCCATGGCTAGGAGGTCTAATTCCCTAGAGGAAAGCCTACTCCTGTTACCTTCCTAAATGGACATGATGCCCAAACTACCTTCTAAATATATTTAAACCCTTGGTCAGAGCAGCTTCCACCATTTGCAATAGACCGTATGTAATGCAGAAGAATAAAGAACTAGTGAGTGCTTAGCCTTAAACCAGACATCTGTATCAATGCTCCTTGGCTCCAACGCTCAGGAAATATCCTGGAAGCAGGGCAGAAAGAATCTAAGAGGTAGAGGATGGAGAGTTTTGTGAAATAATAATGTCTAGACATGACATGCTGCTACACACATGAAATCACAGCAGCTGTGGTTATGTGCACAAGATGGGATCCCGTTAACATTCCTTCACAACTGAGGGGAGGTGCTCAGGAAAGGTGGCCAGGGGAGGGAGCCACCAAAGAAGGTTAAGTTGTTAAGTTGCCCATGCTCCAGTAAATAACTCCTGCTCATGTTCATGCAAACAACCCTGATCAAACTGAGGGTCACAAAACAAAAAGAAAAAAAGAAAAAAAAAAGATAAGCAAGCTTCAGAGACTCACACTTCACATGTGGAGACAGATCAAAGGACATTAAAGCCAGTAACACATGCCTTTGAACCTTGTTTTCAGGAGGCAGGACGATCACTGGTTTAAAGCCAACCTGGGCTACACTGACACCGTCTCAAAAAAAAAAAAAAAAAATTAATACTGAGCACAAGGCCCCTTGGTACCTCAAACCACAAATCCCTGGGTGGGTACACCCAATGAAGAACACCCAATTCTGAAATCCAGACAGGGCTCTAGTACCTCTTTGAGGATGGAAAGTTGACTTTGTATTACTGAGCCACAGCCAGACTGATCAGCAGTCAGTAGTGTTAAGAACACACTACTGCCAAAAAAGAAAGCCCAGAAGCACCTATGAGCATATGCTCTTATAAGAGACAAAGTACAAATGCTTCTGGCTGGAGCAGAGGAAACAATTCTGAACCATAATCTGCAATGACCAGCTCAGAAGGCTCACCTATAAGAACAGCTTAGAAACCAGCAACCTCTCCAAGACACTAATTGGTAACTGCCCAACAAATGCCCTATAGCCAGGATATAAAAAGATAACAGCATCTTGTTGTAGAATATTATTCAACTAGGCAAAGATGTGTTACATTTGTTTATGCTACAGAGTACACTTTAACTGTGTAAAGATGTGTTACTTTTGTTTCACTTTGCCTGCCTAAGGCACCTGATTGGTTTAATAAAGAGCTGAAAGGCCAATAGCTAGGCAGAGAAAAGATGGGCGGGGCGGGCAGGCAGAGAGACTAGGAGGAGAAATCTAGGCTCAGAAAAACAAGAGGAGAGAATGAGGGATATGCCCTGGGCAAGAAGGCAAGCAGCCTCCAGCCAGCAGACACAAGTAGTGAAAGTAAGACATACAGAAGGAAAGTAAAAAGCCCCAAGGCTAAAGGGAGGTAGAGAAACATGTTAATTTAAGTTAAAAGAGCTAGCCAGAAACAAACCTAAGCTAGGTCAAGCATTCATAACTAGTAAGTCTCCGTGTTATGATTTGGGAGCTGGTTGATGGCTCCAAAGAAAAAGCTTAGTACAGCATCTCTGGTGCCTCTCAGGACTAACCAAAGTGGCAAATACCTACTACAGCCAGTCACAGAACCTAAGAAACAAATGACAGTCTTACTTACTTATTCATTCATTCATTTAATTTTTTTGGTTTTTTGAAACAGTGTTTATCTGTGTATAGCACTGGGTCCCTGTTTTTCCTAGGTAGCAGCTGGCCCTGCTTGTCTAGGCCCCCTTAGTTCATCCTAAGGTTGAAAAGTTTCAGTCTGCCATGTGACTACGTCCACAATAAGAAAAGGAGGGAATCTGGAACCCCATTAGGTGAGGCTTTGCACTCTGAACCAATTCTGGGGAATCCATCAAGCAGGCTATGCTAGACAAATGTGAAGATTTTTATCTCTCTGGAGAATCAGCCTAAGGGAAAAAGAAGACAGAACTGTAGAGTGTGATGGTAAAAGCCTTTAAATCCCAACCCCAAAGGCAGGTGGATCTCTGCCAGTTCAAGGCAAGCCTGGTCTACATGCAAGTTCCAGGCCTGCCAAGGATACACAGTGAGACTGTCTCAGAAAACCAAAAAGGCAGAATTTTTCACCAGGGACTTTAAAAACTACTCCTTGTGCCAAACTGAGAAGCTATTTTTGCTAGGCTGACATCTGTTTCTGCAGAATCATAAAATTAAAACTGTTTTGCTTCTTAAATTTGTGATTACAGAATGAAAATGTTGTTTCTCACATAGGAGATGCTTATCACCTAGTCAGCCCACCCCTAGCCACCCTGATGCAGAGCTTTCCTCACGACTGCAAAACAGTGATGGGACCGACCGACTCCGAGCTACAGAAGCTCTGCTGTACCGAGAGCCTCCTCCTGCTCTCACTTGTTTGATTGCTTATTTCCACAGTTCACTAGACAATCTGGAAGAGAATCAAAAATCACAAACAGAAATGTTCCACAATTCTAACCACTCAGAGAAAACCTGCCATTCTCTAGATTCCTTTTTCCCAGCCCTTTTCTTCTTCCTAAGCACTAGCTTTCACTTGTGTTGAGTCCACAGCAAGTTCTGTTTATCATGTTATGTAACAAGTGGATCATTTCTGGTGAGTGCCTACTTGTATGCACAAGTATACCAGGCAGTCTACAGCCAGGACCATGTACAGTTTCCAGTCACCGATGTTTTCTATTCTTGGTACTTGGTTTCTGTACCCTTAACTCCTGATTTAGTACTAAGACTCAGGGCAGAAACATTTAAGGCCCTTGATAACCTCATCAAACTGTTTTCTAGGGAGCGTAAGTCCTCACCAATTTCTTTCAACATTAATTTTTGCATATTTGCTATCAAACTACCTCTCCCGATATACTAATTTTGCAGGTTAAACACTCTCCTCTGTCCCTTTTTCCTTAGGGTACATACAACTCTTGCACAACAGAGCTCTAACCTATTGTACAAATTTTAATTTGGTCTTATAATAAAAAAACCAGAGCCAGCCGGGCGGTGGTGGCGCACGCCTTTAATCCCAGCACTCGGGAGGCAGAGCCAGGCGGATCTCTGTGAGTTCGAGGCCAGCCTGAGCTACCAAGTGAGTCCCAGGAAAGGCGCAAAGCTGCACAGAGAAACCCTGTCTCGAAAAACCAAAAAAAAAAAAAAAAACCAGAGCCAGATATCAGGGTGAAAGCTGAAAGATCAGAGAAACAGAGCAGCCAGCCACTAGTTCTTCCCTCTAAGAAATCCTCAGCCTCAAGAGAGTGAGTTCCTGTTTCCTCAAGCCTTATATACCTTTCTCTGCCCTGCCATATTACTTCCTGTGATTAAAGGCATGTGTGCTTCCCAAGCAAAGGCATGAGATCTCAAGTGCTGGGATTAAAGTTGTGTGCCACCACTGCCTGATCTCTATGTCTAATCTAGTGGTTGGCTCTGTCCTCTGATTCTCAGGCAAGTTTATTAGGGTACACAATATATCACCACATTAACCAACACTCCTTATCTTTGCTAGGGCCAGATGCTATCCTTCAGACTTATTCATCATCCTCAGATTTAGAGATTTAAAATAAGGTGGAACTGGAGAGATGACTCTTACAGATGATGAAGGTTGGGTACCCAGAACTCACATGATGGCTTACAACTGCCTGTAACTCCAGTTCCAGGTATCCAATGTCCTTTCTGGTCTCTCCACACACATGGTGCACATGAACTCACGCAGGGTTGAACTCATCAACACATACATTAAAAACAAAGAGGGGGTGGTCCCACAAGATAAACTGTGGGGTATTCACAGAACAAAAGCCCTGGAAGGAAATATGCAGGTGTGGTTGCTTACCTGTTGCTCTGCAAGAGGAAAGAGGGAACTTGAGGTTGAAGGCCTGTATCACCAGCACATGTTCTGACCAGCCCTAAATGGTTGAGCCCTAGGGGGCTCTCCTAGACTGGCCTGGGTATAGTTCCCTGTGGCCACCTGTGTGTCCGTCCTGAGGTTGCTTAATCTTTCTATTGAAGGATGACATGAAGCTTCCTGGGCTCTGACCATGAGTTTAGGCAGCCATCAGTCTTGGTTTTACCCGAATAGACCTATCACAACCAGGGCTTGGACTGTAGCCACAATTAAGCAGTAATCTGGATGTTGCATTTTTAAAGTGAATCAGGATTTAGTGATTTCAGAGCTGGGCATGG